CCACTGGATCCAACATATTATCTTTGAAACCTCCTCCCCCTGGGCTCCCCTGGCGCTAACGCAAATTGCGGCCTTGGCCCTGGAAGCCCCACCGGAAACGGACCCTCTCATATGGCTCGAGGACAGATATTGGAGACTCCCCAGGAAATACATGAATGGTGACCCGGTGGACGAACACTGGATACGCCTTCTGCGCACGTGGAGGAGACTCCCACTCCCCGACCGCCCCACCCCGGACAGATGGGAGGNGAATGGTGACCCGGTGGACGAACACTGGATACGCCTTCTGCGCACGTGGAGGAGACTCCCACTCCCCGACCGCCCCACCCCGGACAGATGGGAGGAGATAATCAGGCAACCACTATTCGGCAATAGATTAATCATAAATTCCCTCGGTCAGGTAAGAAACAGCTCGGACTCCCCCTGGAAAATCTGGGCGAAACACGGGGTGCTGAGGGTAGGGGACCTATGGGATGGGGAAAATGGAGAATGGAAAAGTGCAGCAAAAATGAAAAGCTGCTTGCGCTACTGCCACTCCCTCGAGTCAACAATGGAAGAACTGATTGAAAGTTTCCCATCCAATGGTACACTAGGCTTAAGAAAGGTCCAACGTTGGAAGAAGATGATTGGATGGGGCTACCTAGCCATGAATCACAAGTGGGCCTAGTGCACCTAGTGGACCAGTCACAAGTCCTGATTGAATGTTACGCTATTACAGAATCAGGGCGGCTACAAGGGAATAGACCATGCACAAGTCCTGATTGAATGTAACGCTATTACAGAATCAGGGCGGATACAAGGGAATAGACAACCTTTCATCTAGAAAAGAAAATGAGAAGTCTATCGCATCAGGGTGATTGAAGAAGGGAAAGGTTGGAGAGCGCATCGTCCAATGACCCCGATTGAAAACCTCCCCCTTGATCACCAAGAATGGAGATGGTCGTGGAAAGGCAAGGGAGAGCGGGGACGAGGGGAAGGAAGAACGGTCTAATTAGCCGCCCTAAAAACGAAGTCCGTCTACCGGATGCTCAGGCCCAAGTGCGGGCTACGAGACGTGGTGGCGGACAGATGGCAGCGCCATCTTAATGTAGATCGAAGCACACTCAAATTTATCCAATGGTTCAACGAGTACCATAAAAGGCCGCCAAAAAATTCCGCTCTTCAATGGCAAATCACTCACCGTTGCCTACCGGCCAATAATTGGTTGATTGATCATATACAGCTCGAACAACAAGGAAGGGCGCTCCCCTGGTGCCGGGGCTGCTACCAAAATTTCCCCGAAAAAAAACACCCTCAGACGGTTGAGCATATCTTCCTACAATGCCCTGCAACGGTCTTGCTATGAAGATGGTGGGATAGGATCTGGCGGCACATCGTTCCAGGTTCATTATGGCCCTGGGACTGGAGGACAATTCTGTTGGGACACTGCCCCCACTTTTGTGACAACACCTTTGTAGCAAATATGTTCTCCATGGGCCGTCGTTCAGTCCTCTGGACCATATGGTGGCGAAGATGCATCTTGGAATTAGAGGGGGTCAGGGTAGAAGAGGGGGAGGTCACAGAACAGATACGGCTGCTCTTCCAACATGAGATCATGGCACAATGGCAGAGTGTCAAGGAAAAATTGAGTCAGGTGCACAGCAGGGGGGGCATTAAAAACACTATCTCCCGGTTTTGCAAGGGCTGGTTGAAGGGGGAGAGGGAGGGCTGGGTCACGAGGGTGACTTGGACAGGAGACAGGTTGGACCATGGAGAAGGACAAGAGGGAGACCCGGAAAGAGACTATCAACTTCTCTTTAAAAATTGGACAAGGGTGGATCCTAGAGAACAATTGAGATCTGTGCAGGATTTCGGTGATCCCTTTCCCCCTCACCCGATGGCCCTGGAGGAATATGTGGGGGCTTAGTGTCATTTAAATCACTTCAGCTGTACTGGTGGTGTCATGTTTTTCAAACATAAGCTACTGCAGCGAGTTAAGACACAATAAGACACAGTAAGAGCCATGGGATAGTAGGAGGACGAAAGAGGCTAGGGGATGGCGGGATGCTCTACTGGTGCCCCCCAGCTGCTGCTGGCCAGGTTTTGAAAAACAGATAGGATAGGGGACGTTGGACCCGGGTTCCAGCACAATGGCGCCACTCTCGAGATGTTCAAAAAAAGAAAATTTTCTTTTTTCTGTATATGAGACTCCGTACATCATGAGGATCCCACTGGTGCCCCCTGGTGGATCTCCCCCCTAGTACTTGGCGTTGGTGCGAGGCAGCAGGAGAGGTAGGAAGGAAAAAGATTAGATATGGGACGCTGGACCCGGTTTCCAGCTCAATGGTGTCACCTTCAATGATGGACTATTTTGTAAAGATGTATTCATGGGATGCTGGGCCCGGTTCTGAGCAGGTGATGCTCCCCACCAATAGATGGAGCGGCCCACCAGGCAAAGCCTCAATTCCGGTGGTTCTCTTACCACCAGCAGGATAGAGGCCTTGTACAAGGGCCTTGATATATTAAAAAAAAAAAAAAAAAAAAAAAAAAAGACCTTCACCCCTCCCTTATAACCCCCTCTTTTCTATTCCATAGACTAACCCGCTTATCTTCTTTCCTTTCGACTATGTGGTCATGTGTACGACTGAGTCCTGTTTGACTTTCCATTCATCATTTTTTTATTTTTTTATTTTTTTTAATTTTAAGTCCATGGTGTTGTAGAGGCCGGTCACTTCACTGCACAGTGATCACCCGGAGTGGTAGGCCGTGGGTGTCCTGGAAAATGAGACCACCTTCCCATCCCATCCTCACACCAATACTCCTAGCACACCCCCTATCCCACTATCCTCCCTCAGTGTGACGAACACTCAGGACCATTACCCTACCAATGGACAGGTAACTTGGACCGAACAGCAGTGATAGGCACCAGGGCTGGGTAAGCAGAGTCGGACGAGCCTTGTCGAACGAGGACTTCGGACGCCAGGCCCAGACAATGTACTACCGGTCTCAAGAGACTCTAGGCCCTAGGTTCAGACAGGGCAACACTCATTGAAGTAGTCTTACCGTCCTTTCCTAGCTTACCCAAGGCCAGGCGGAACTCGGACTAGCCTAAGCGACTTATACCCTACCCTTAGCCTAGGGTCTAAGCCTAAGCCACTAGACAGTTCTATCCGAATATCAGTAGGAACTCCGGTGACCAGCCTCGTACCTACTACGATACTAGACCCTACCCATTGATAGACCCCCCCAGTCTGATAGTTGTATCGTTCGCAATCTATGTGTATATATCCGAAGGCTAGATGTACAGTTAGCACCATGTGTGGATTTAGCCAGTAGGCCATGTATAGTTCGCAAACTAAGTATGCATGCCCGAAGGCTGTGTGTGCTCTGTGAATCGATGTATGGAAATGTAACGGCAACGAGCTGGACAAGGACTTCCCCCAAGGACCGAGCCAAGCTCGAGCTCGTGACCTTGTAACATATAATCGAACGACTCTGCCATGTGAACGACCAACGAAAATGGAACGAACGGATGATATGCCAGACTGGGGAAATCAACAGAACACCCAAGACCGACCCCCCCAAGCAACCCATGTGAAACCCGGAACCAACATACAACACCATGAACAACCCTTGGGTGGTGCGCAGGCACTGTCTGTAATAGTACCATGCGTCAGCCCAAGGGAGTGTGTGTCCAGCCGTGCGTCAATCTAACGCTCCACCGGTGTCCATGCACAAGGTTGCAATTGAGTTTTGAACCCACAACCTTATACCACAATGCGCATTTCCAACCGGTGCTCTAACCACTGAGCCACATCATCTAAATCTTCTTCTGAATAAATGATAATCTAATTGGAATTTGGTCTTGCCTACTAACGAGTTTGACTTCCCATTCATCATGATCCCTCTCTCAATCTTCTTTTGAATAAATGATAGTCTAAGTGGAATTTGTTTTTTTACTCAACTCGCTTGCAAAATCCTTACCCTGCCGTACTCCCTTCTTTCTTCCATAAGGACTAACTTGTCTGCCTGCTCTCTACCCCTCGCCTCTTTTTACCCCTCCCACGAGACTGCATGATTTTCATGTGGGATTGTCCCACCCTGGTATGATCCTCTATCCCTCTCCCTCTCCCCCCTCCCCCCTCCCCCCTCCCCTCCTTTGCGCTTCCATGTGACGAACCGATTTCTGTTCCGCGCGACACTCTGCGCGATAACAATGAGGGGGTCCTAAGCTGGGAAGGTTGGGCCAATTACGGGAGATCGGGATTGAGGGTGAATTGCATCAGTGTCCTCGCTTTTTCAACTTTTCTCTTTCGTCGCTTCTTTTCGGATGGTTGGATTCAGGGCCGGGCAATTCCCGGGACGATTGATTGAGTGGCTGTCGCGCCGACCAGGTGCGATTAATAAGGGTTGACGACGCTTCTTTTCTGTGTTGTTGTCGGATTTTAGGCGCGGAAGACCACGCGGGAATTTTTTGCTTCGTTCTTTTTTAATTTTCCTTTTTGAATCTTGTCGAGCCCCAATGGCTCTCAGAATTTCAGACTTTTTCGTGCTTTTTGATTTTTTTGCATTAGATAGGAATTCAGGAATTTAGGGATTTTGGAATTTAGGATTTTCTTTTGCCGCGCAGCGCTTTTTGCTTACGCGCTTCTTACTGCGGCTGCAATGGAACTCTGATTAGTCGGCGCCCTTAATCATGTGTGTAACTATAATTTTGGGCTGGCGCCATTGTAACTGTATCTTTCTTTTTGAACTTCGTTTTTTCCCGCTCTCGCTTTCTCTTGCTGTGTCTAGCCAGCCCGCGGCCTGCATGCTCGGATCGATGCGTGGAGAGTGGCTACGACCCCCACGCCGCGATCTGGCCATGCAGAACGCATGCGCTCTCTCTCCTAATCTCCTTTCTAAGTCCTTGCAATTCCATGTTCTTCGCGCATGCATGCACGCTATAAATTCTGGCTGCGTGATTAGATAGCTCTCTTAACCAGCTGTTGGAAGCTCGGGGTACCGCGATCAGTGAGGGTCGGCTCACGAGCGAAGTAAGAGGTGAGTTGAAGTGGGAGTCGGGCGACCCGACGAGCTGGTGCCAAACGTGCGGGGTTGACACGGGCCACAGCGGACTGTGGGCGCGGACGAACCTGACGGGTGTGGGAGGACTAAGCGGGGTGACGACTTCGTGGGTTGGTGCTTGACGACGGACTGTCCGCATCGGAGAGAACGAGAGAGGAAGAGGGAGTTGAGGTTGATGGACGTGGATTTGCAGTTTTCTTTGTCTTTTCTCCCTCTTTGCTTTTGTATATAAATTTTGATCTCGGCTCAGGGCGACTCTCCCATTTTTCGTTTTGTCTTTGGAATCCTTGTCTTGGTTTCAGCCCATACTCATTTTGCGGTTGATCTCGATTTCGTTTGTCACGTGTTTTGTCGAATGAATGGATGAATGAATGTCATGTCTATTGCGGTGACTTTTCGCCTGATCCTTGCCTTTGCTTGTCGTTTTGATACACTCTTGAGCATAGTAGGAATTTTTGCGTAGTCATCAATACTGCTTCTATTGTTGTTTATCCCCTTTTGAACTACTGTTGTTGCTGCACCTTGTATGCTCGGAAACGATTGCGTACGGGATCACAGAGTGATTAGATGATTGGGTAGTTGTTTGTCCAAAAACAAGCGAATACCTCGCGGGGATGCATGTAAGCGCGATCCGATCTGCGCAGCCTACACGTATCCACGCGCGCTCATTCGCAACCATTGATGAACTTGACACCTTCGACATCAGGTGGGCAGGAATTTTCCTTCCCCCACGCACCTAAACGGATAGGAATTTTCGATATCACATCGGAAATTCCCCCTGTAGATTAGACGTGTGCGGAAGGATTCCATCACACCGCGATGACAAGATGACGTACTCGAGGGACTCAGATTTGTCGTGGGATCCAGAGTATTTCGACTCCTGGGTGAGAGAGTGTCTCAGACAGAGACGCCCGAAATTGCCCCGCCTAACCGAGAATCGATTGTGCCCCAGGGAGTTTCACTGTGCCACCACCAGCGATCCGAGATGCCCCGATTTTCCCACTTCGGACAACACCCATTACTTCATATCCCCCGGCTTCGTTGTTATCGCTACCAACTTCCCTCCCTTCCGTCTCCTCCTCCCGTATCACCAACTCACGGTGGTACCGTGGAATTCCATCGCTTCGTACTGGCCCCGCACGCCCTACGGAAATCGCTGGCGGCTCGGTAACCGACGAACCCTTGAAACAAGAGGGCCTGACCAAAATGCGCGACGACAGACGCCACGTGTCGGCACCTAAAGGACCGACTCATCAGGAACACAACTATCCGGGGCGGGCCTCTCGCCACCGCCAAAACAGACGGATCGGACGACCTTGAATGCACCACGCATGCCATCTGCCTTATGCTGCACGACATAGAACGTCAACAGATCGGGAGGAACTCGCCCTTAGACCTATTGCATATATGCCCATGAAACTCTGCCATAGGAGATATTAGTTCTGACCTGGGATTCCATCCCCACTTTCCCAAAAATCCTTGGCAGACCCCTTTTCGCACTTCCAGGCCCACATGCCACTCCGATTAGGAAGTCGCGCCGTGTGTAAGGTTGGTATCGGAGCCCGACACGTGGCAGGGTTCTAGGACTCATAGCTGGGCGATCTGGCTAACAGAGGACGACCTCGACCTCGGAACGCTCATCAACGCGATCCCGTCGTCACCAGAAGCCGGTCTGCGGCTCATTGGACAGTCAATATGAATGCTAATCAGCAGAACCCCCAACAAAACCCAAATCCCCAGCAGAATCCTAATCAACCCGCACCACGAGCATGGACTCCCATAACGCCCTGTGACCTCTATTGGTTTGAACCTGCGCACAATTTTGCTGGAGCATGGCTAGCCACACTCCGCGCTCAGCAGTATGACGATAACGAAGCTCAGGTGAACATTCCCGCTCGATTAGGAGGGGACGCCCATCATTGGTTTAGGACCTATGTATGGGTGGATCTTCCAACTTTTGAGCGAGATTTTATGAATCGGTTTGATTATATCCATCAAGAACAAGCGCTCCTTATGATTAAATATCGAGTTCAAAAATCTCTTGAATCTGTTACGGAATATCGAAACCAGTTCTACCGAATGTTCGTAAAAACGGAGCGAGGTGAGCAAGTAGGAAGAGATTTGTTCATTGACGGACCTCGCAGCCGAACGATGAGGGCGAAACTGTGAAAACAGTTCTCCCCCATCAATCACACGCTGGAACAGATCATGGCAGCCACAGAAGAAATGAAGAGAAAATTTGCTGCGAGCCTCCTAGAAGGAGAGGATTACCCTAGGGAAGGCGACTCGTCTGAATTAGCAAGGGCTAAGGCTGAGTTGGCCGTGTTGTAAAACAAGTTCGAAAACATGGGATTTGTATCTGGCCCGGTCACCTATCTAGAGCAGATCACCCCTAAACGATCGGTTCCAAGTGTGATTGCAAACGTACCCGCTCCCGTGATGACAGTGTCCCCACCCCCGATCGAAACCCCCTCACGACCGAATAAGTCTTCCGCCTTGCTCGAACTAACCAAAACATTGGTTAATTTGATTCAGGAGAGTAAAAAGGAGCAATGGGAACACAATGCTCGAATCGAGGCAATGATGAGATCGATGCGACCCATCGCAGTGCGTGCCGCGCCGATCCAGCACGGATTGGCTCAGAGCCTCTGGCACCGCCTCCTGCCGGGATCCCGGGCAATCTGAATGTCTGCTACACGTGTCACCAACCAGGGCACATAGACCAGGATTGCCCTCACTGGCTCTCCCAACAACGAGTCCGAGCCGCACCAGTATCTGCAGCACCAACAGCTAACGGGCCGGGACGGGAAGGAGCATTGATGGAAGAAGTAGAGGGAAGCGGAACCACGTTAGCATCAATGGAGGAGGCTGCAGACTCTGAGCTTATTCCCTTGGATCAGTATGTAACACTGGGATACCCGGGGCTTGGAATGATTGGTACGATTAGACCCACGCCTGAACAACGAGAGATGGCGGAGTGGCGACCTTCTCCAGGAGAGAAGGAGTCGGGAGGACCCACCTTCGTCACGGGGGAAATCGATGTTCTAAACATCGTACGAGCCTTAGATCATCGAATCCCCCTTCCAATCGGCCATATGCTTTCGATATCAGAATAGGCTAACGAACGTATGCTGCAGCACTGCAAAGCAAACCGAAAACGATTTGCCCTTACCCGAACGACAAACACAAAAACGAAAGGACCAACACCAGACGAAAATGCCGCAGGTACTTCTGACCCCATACGCATATGACTAATCCAAAAAGATGATCACTTCCTGCGGATTAAACCCATCACATGGAAATCCGCGGAATGCGACATTGAGGTATGGGGAATTCCATATAATACTATCATCGATTCAGGAGCCGCTGTGTTGGCTATTTCATTACGGGTAGTGGAGAGAGAAGGAAGAAAAAACGATCTGATCATGTTCACAGAAAAAGATCAGCTCGTCTCGGAAGATGAGGAAAAGATCAAAACAGTGGGTCGAATGACTAATGTTGCTTTTCGATTAGGGAAGGTGCATGCTTTGGGTGTCGTCGTAGTATTAGATGTCAACAGTGGGTCGAATGACAAATGTTGCTTTTTGGCCTTCCCGCCCTGGTAGCACTACGAGTCAATCTTGACTTCGAAAGACGATCGATTGTCCTCCGAAATACGGGTGGGAAACCCTATGTTGTACCAATGAGACTGACCCTTCGTACTACCGCTAACATAGCCCCACGAGTTTCTCCCATGATGACGGGGACCCTTCGCATGATTACTTGGGACAACGGGCAGACATTCAAAGACGCTGACAGCAGCGATGATGATGATGATCCCGTAATCCTGGAGATGGCACAAGAACGTATCCATTACCCCATGCAACGGACAAATGCTAAAGCGTTGAGAAGGATTAACCAAAATTTGCAAAGAACACAGGCTATGATTATGGGAGAACCTCTCGTACAGATTTCAAGGATGGTCGATTCTTTGGAACCCCCTCGAACCCTGTACGAAGGGATCTCACCTCTTCTCGCCCGATACAATGACAAAAGGCACTACTGCCATATCACGGATCTCCCGAAGTCTCTGTTGACACCCGCAAAAGAAATTCGATTGTTACGATTGGGGGCAGAGATCAACTCTTTGGAACCACCTGAGCGCCTCGAGAACAGGCTCAGGATCAAGATTGCAACGAAACCTGTGCCGTGGCAAGACATTCGAAATGGGGTAACACCGGAAGAACACGTGGCCATCCGAGAACAAGATGCACAGATGATGACCACCGTGTTCTCCTGGTGATCAGACAACTCATTCATCTCCGCGCCCCCCCCAGAAAATGTCAAGCGGGTGAATACAAAACACATCGATGTGAGGGTATGGGATGAGTCGTATGAGTTGCATGTACCTCGATATGTACCTGATGAGATTCACCACCTAATCGCAGACATTCTAAAGGAGTACAAAGGAGCGATTAGTGTGACGGACACAGATATTGGGCTGTCGCTAGCCATACAGCACGAGATCCAGACAGGAAATCATTTCCCAATTCACTGTAAACCTTACAGATATTCCCTGGTAGAACGGAGAAAGGCTCTACGACGGATTCGAGAATTCGAAGAAAGCGGTTGGATCGAACCCGCCACCGGACCATGGTCGTTTCCGGTAATATTAGTACCGAAAAAGAACGGATCGATTCGCATATGCATTGATTATCGCAAACTGAATGACATCACGATCAAAGATGTGTATCCCCTCCCCTGAATTGATGATTTGCTGGATGCGACTGGATGTGCTAATTATTTTAGTAAGTTTGATATTCGGCACGACTTCCATCACATTTTGGTTAAGGAGGAAGATCGGCTGAAGACGGCCTTCGTACTGTTTGAAGGCACGTGGCAGTGGGTTCAGTGCCCGATGGGGGTTTGCAATGTGCCGGCCACGTTTCAGCGAGCCATGAACGTCACGTTTCAGAACTTCGTCAACAAGACACGGTTAACGCAGGGAATGATTAACTTCTGCATCATAGTGTACATGGACGACATCCTGGTCTATTCAGAGACCTATCACGACCATGTGCAGCATATCGAGTGGACATTGGGTGCTCTTAGAGACGCCGGATTCAAGATTGCGCTCGAAAAGAGCGAATTTTTCCTTTCGGAAATTTCGTTCTTGGGCTACGTCGTGACACGTGGAGGACTGCAGCCTGACTCGAGAAAGGTCGCGGCGGTGAAGGAAGCTTCTGTTCCCACGTCACTGACGCAGGCTCGAGCCTTCTTGGGGTTAGCCTCGTACTATTGTCGTTTCATCAAGGGCTTCGCCGCGAATGCACGACCCTTAACAAACTTGTTACGGAAGGACTTGCCCCTCAGTTGAGACACAGGGTGCGAACAGGCCTTCGCGACCCTCAAGGAAGCTCTAGCAACGACGCCTATTTTGATCCGACTGAACCCCGCGAAGCAGTTCATTCTCATCACGGAGTGGCAGCAGGAGGCTATTTCCACTATTTTAGCGTAGAAGGGAAACGATGGCCACGAACATGTCATCGAATATGTGTCGGAAACAGTACCAGACGAGCGGAGGAATGACTCAGCTCCGCAGGGTGAATGCTACGCAGTAGTGTGGGGAATCCAACACTTCCATCCGTATCTGTACGGACAGAAGTTCCTCCTTGTCACTGATCACGATCCCTTGCTAGCACTTAAGAGGCTCACCAATTACACGGGCATGATTGGACATAAGGCAGTGCGCCTACAGGAGTACGACTTCGACATCATCCATCGGAAGACGGAGAGGCACGGCAACGCGGACGGACTGACACATCTGCATCAACCAGCTAAAGTACCTAAGGCAGAACAGATCATCCCGTGGAAGGAACCGGAGTCGGCGAACGGACCCAAGTACGAACAAGTGGTAGTCCTTCCACGAGGCAAGAAGCAGGCAAGTGGCCATGGGTGACGAAGGTAACCCTACCACTCCCCTCTCCCCCCTCTCCTCCTCATCTCTCCTCTCCCTGCCTGATAAATTTTGTTATTTTTGCGAAGAAATTTCTCGCGTGTACTCGGTTTCTATGCGTCATAGCGGAGAAGGATATGCGGAATGGATAGACTGTCGACAGTGTGTCGCACGAGCCCACGGCTCGTGCATCCAATACCGAAATGACAGTAAGCCTTGGCTGCGCCCCTTGTGTCGGGTTGATAAGATCCCGACCGAGGCTCGCTTCCTGGACGCCACGTCAGAAGGGTTATAAAAGACCCAGAGGTTTAGAAGGGCCGAAGTATGGACGGATATCGCCTTGATTGCTACCCTAGTGGATAACCCCCTCTAGGACTTCACCAAGGAAGATCGGAGGAGGGCCAATGAAAGGGCCCGGGATTACCGCTGGAATGAGGGACGACTGGAAAAACGGAAAACAGAGCGTAGTGGGATTTGGATGGTAGTGCCGCACCCGTTCATGAGGTATGACTGGGTGAAGACAGCGCACAAGTAAACGGCTGCCCATTTTGCCGTACGGATCACGGACGCGGCAATCGACAAAAACGAGTGGTATTGGTCCAATATTCGTGACGATGTGAAATTCATCGTCGCGAACTATCAGGTCTGCGCTGCTGACAAGGCGCTGATTCAGCCGCCAAGATCAATAGTACCGACAATAGTTGAGCGGTTTTCAAAGGGTTAGCATGGATACCACCGATATTGTGGTGCCCCCTGGACCCAATAGATGTGAATATTCAATCCTACTCGTGTTCGTGGACCATTTTTCGAAATGGATCGAGGCGTATGATCCCTGTTGTACGCGACAGGCGGCCGAAATTGCGCGATACATCAATCGGTTTTTAGGGATGCACCAGGACACAAAGGAAATTCTGACCGATAATGGGGTAGAATTCAGGGGTGAAGTCTTGAGGAATCTGGTCGTACACGGCTTCGCTATTCGGAATACCGCACCCCATATGTGGCAATTTAACGGGCTGGTAGAAAATGCAAATAGGGTGATAAAGACAACACTACGACGCAATATCGCAGCGCGGGGCCCCAGACCCTGGCCCGATATCGTAGATCACATCCTGGCGGTCCATCGAGGGACGCCCCACGAATCGACGGGCCTGAGCCCTTTTCAATTAAGGACCAATAGCGTGGCCTGCGTTTCAATACCAAGCCTCCCGGACGAATCTTCGCTGAACCGACGGCTCACCAGGGCCACGGTTCGAGACAGGGCCAAGCGAGACATGGAATTGATGGAAAGGTCCCTGCCTCGATTGGCCCGAAAGCGCCAGAAAATGACCGAGTTGGCCCACGGTCGACAGGTCCGTAGTTACGAGGCCCGGAACGAGAATGCGGGTTTGCGACCCCTGTATAAATTAGGGGACTTGGTGCAGGTGAGGAAATGTGCTCGCCAAGGTAAGATAGCGCCACGATTCTTCGGGCGATTTCGAGTGATCGAGCTTGGACCGAACGGAGTGAGCACCGTGTGCCTCGTGCCGGAGGTCTCGGGAAGCCGATCGGCGTGGCCGATCGTTGGCCACATGTCCTATCTACGTCCCCTCCCTTCTTCCCCATCCCATGCACCCTCTTCCTCTTCCTTGGCTATGGAAGAAGACGACGACTCTCCATCGCTTCTTTCCTCCCTTGCATCTCTTGCCTTTTCCCATACTCCGTCCCCGCCATCATTGCCATGAGTTTTCTTACGGAGCGAGCTCTCGGAAATCATCTGCTAACGCGACGAGGCTACCTCTTAGCGATTTGGCAAGTTCATCATCCGGCGTCCGCGGTTCAATCTGGATCTTCTACGACTTGCGCAATTTTTCTACACTTCGGGGGTATATGCAGCAGCCGAGTTCTGATTCGCGGGCGGTCACCAGGCGGTTGTGCTGGCAGAGGCAGTACTTGTCCATCGGCCAGCTCCAGGGATCAGCCACGTGTCCACAATTGTCGGCTTAAGCGGCGATATCAGCACGATCAGTCTGCTACGGCATACAATGATCCGGACGTCACTAAGAGAGTGGGGTCAGCAGTTAGGCGCGGAGTGGAACCACTGGCTCATGCGCCACGGGGACAATCTTGTCCCTACGGACGACATCGATCTTGGTGGGATTCGAGCATCCCAGCACGAGTCGGGGGGGTGCTTCCAGAACTTATCCCCTTTCATCGTCCCCACCTTCGCCCTTCCATCTCTCTTTCCCACCTTTTGGCAGTCTGGTCTTCACCCTCGCTTCTCTTTCTGTCTGGAGCCGCTCGCAGTCCCCTTTCTCGATCCAAGGCAGTGAAGGCTCTAGTGTGAACACTTCGTCGATCTTTCGGTGTGCCTGGTCGGAGTGCGACTCACGTGGACCAGGGACGAAGAGCATCGCGCTTGGTTAGAGTACTTGGAGTTGTTGATCATCCAGGCTTGGAGGACGGACGTGGAGGGCGATCTTCTCGGATTCCTGTTCGGATCGGTGCGGCCCGGCCATCGCCAGCTAATCGTGCAGGTCCTGAAGTTCACAGTTCCTCTCGCGCAGTTGGTTGACGATCTCCCCCTTGAGATCATCTCGCAGAGCGACGAGAACCCGGTCCCGCGTGTCCTCACACGAACGCTGACGCCGTACCTTCAGTGGCCAGCGTGCCTGGAGGAGCCGGGAAGTGGTCGCAACCCGCCATCGCAGCGGGGATATCTAGACCCATGGGAGATAATCGACCTCACTTTCTTCGAGGATCGAACGGCCTCTGAAGACGAGGAGTTAACAATCGAAGAAAAAAAAGAAGAAGCTGCTGAGGAGGACGACGAGGAAGAAACATCGGAAGAGGGAAGTTATAGTGAACACAGCGAAGGAGAACAGAGTGAGGAGGAAGAAGAGGAAGAGCTAGAGCTAGAAGAATCTGAGTGGGAGATCTCGGCGGAGGAGGCAAGACAAACGGACGCTCAGGCAGAGGACCCCGAGGCGGCGCGCAAGAGAGAGGAGATCGCGGCCGGAAAGCGACAACTGGAATTCGCCAGCGGAGCAAATCTGCAGATCGCCGATGATCCGGCCCGAGATCCGGAGCCGCCCAAGCCAGAAGATGGGGACCCAGCGGCCGAGACTTCGAGCGCATCGACAAGGCGGCGACGAAGTCGGTCCCCCTCCCCCTCCACCTCCGACCGTCCACCAGTTCGAGCCCGTACTGATGCGGGCCATCGGGCTTCGTCTCCGGTCGTTATCCCGCCGTCCCCTTGACCATCTCACCCTCCGCCAAATTACCACCCGTGTCACCTTCCCCCGTAACCCCTTCCCCATGGATACCTTCCGATTCTTCTACGCTACTCGCCTCGCTGTTACTGTTCACCCCCATCTCTCGACCAGGTGCACCCTCCCCGACTTCTGCCTTCACGCCGTTCTCCTTAGTGCCGCGTGGCGAGGCCACAATATCGTCGAAGTGTATTGCATGATTACGGGGACTATCCCCGCATGCGAGAACTACGACCATTTCGGTGTGGCACTCTTTCGAACCTTCGCCACTCTGTATCCCGATTACCTCGCCTCCCTCCCCCACAGTGGTAATCGCTTCCCCCGTTTCCACCGGATCGTCCGATATCAGGAGCTTCCGAAAACGGTGGCGAGGATGGAAAGCTTCTACCCCCGCTCCCGATTAACCCTCCCCCTCGCAATGCCCCCATGTATCGACTCCCCTTCCCCCTCCACGGTGGACATTGATGATCGGTTGATTGGTGTGCGTGCCACGACAATGGCACGAATAATCCCCTCCTTGGATTGACGAGAGCCGTCCCAAGGAATTTGTAGGACAGAGCCCGTACGCCACGTTGGATGACGTCCACACTCCTTCATACGGTAAGTTGCAACGAAAAGCTCCTCGTGTCAATCGATTAGAGAAATCGACACGTGTCATGATTCAAGCAAGCAGGAGCTTGCTTAAGATTGGAACCCCCTGGGCGTCACATATGTGACGAACCGATTTCTGTTCCGCACGACTTTCTGCGCGATAACAATGAGGGGGTCCTAAGCTGGGAAGGTTGGGCCAATTACGGGAGATGGGGATTGAGGGTGAGACTTTTCTCTTTCGTCGCTTTTTTTCGGATGACTGGATTCAGGGTCGGGCAAGTCCCGGGATGATTGATTGAGTGGTTGTTGCACCGACCAGGCGCAATTGATAAGGGTTGACGCCGCTTTTTTTCTGTGCTGTTGTCGGATTTTAGGCGCGGAAGACCGCGCGGGAATTTTTTGCTTCGTTCTTTTTGAATTTTCCTTTTTGAATCTTGTCGAGCCCCAATGGCTCTCGGAATTTCGGACTTTTTCGTGCTTTTCGTTTTTTTTGCATTAGATAGGAATTTAGGAATTTAGAAATTTAGGAATTTAGGATTTTTTTTTGCCGCGCAACGCTTTTTGCTTACGCGCTTCTTTGTGCGGCTGCAACGAAACTCTGATCAGTCGACGCCCTTAATCATGTGTGTAACTGTAATTTTGGGCGGGTGCCATTGTAACTGTATCTTTCTTCTTGAACTTCATTTTTCCCGCTCTCGCTTTCTCTTGCTGTGTCTAGCCAGCCCGCGGCCTGCATGCTCGGATCGATGTGTGGAGAGTGGCTACGACCCCCACGCCGCGATCTGGCCATACAGAACGCAGGGGCTCTCTTTCCTAATCTCCTTTCTAAGTCCTTGCAATTCCGTGTTCTTCGTGCATGCATGCACGCTATAAATTCTGGTTGCGCGATTAGATAGCTCTCTTAACCAACTGGTGGAAGCTCGGGGTAGCGCGATCAGTGAGGGTCGGCTCACGAACGAAGTAAGAGGTGAGTTGAAGTGGGAGTCGGGCGACCCGACGAGCTGGTGCCAAACGCGCGAGGTTGACGCGGGCCACAACGGACTGTGGGCGCGGGCGAACCTGACGGGTGCGGGAGGACGTAGCGGGGTGACGACTTCGTGGGTTGGTGCTTGACGACGGACTGTCCGCATCGGAGAGAGCGAGAGAGGAAGAGGGAGCTGAGGTTGATGGACGTGGATTTGCAATTTTCTTTGTCTTTTCTCCCTCTTTGCTTTTGTATATAAATTTTGATCTCGGCTCAGGGCGACTCGCCCGTTTTTCGTTTTGTCTTCGAAATCCTTGTCTTGGTTTCAGCCCACACTCATTTTGCGGTTGATCTCGATTTCGTTTGTTACGGGTTTTGTCGAATGAATGGATGAATGAATGTCATGTCTATTGCGTGTCTTTTCGCCTGATCCTTGCCTTTGCTTGTCGTTTTGATACACTCATGAACATAGTAGGAATTTTTGCGTAGTCATCAATACTGCTTCCATTGCTGTTTATCCCCTTTTGAACTACTGTTGTTGCTGCACCTTGCATGCTCGGAAACGATTGTGTACGGGATCACGGATTGGGTAGCTTTTTGTCCAGAAACAAGCGAATACCTCGCGGGGATGCGTGTAAGCGCGATCTGATCTGCGTAGCCTACATGTATCCATGCGCGCCGATTCACAACCGTTGACGAACTTGACACCTTCGACATCGGGTAGGCGGGAATTTTCCTTCCACCACGCACCTAAACGGATAGGAATTTTCGATATCACATCGGAAATTCCCCCTGCTGATTAGACGCGTGCGGAAGGATTCCATCACACCGCGATGACAAGATGACGTACTCGAGGGACTCTGATTCGTCGTGGGATCCGGAGTATTTCGACTCCTGGGTGAGAGAGTGTCTCAGACAGAGATGCCCGGAATTCCCCTGCCTAACCGAGAATCGATTGTGCCCCGGGAGTTTCACTGTGCCACCACCAGCGATCCGAGGTGCCCCAATTTTCCCACTTCGGACAACACCCATTACTTCATATCCCCCGGCTTCGTTGTTATCGCTACCAACTTCCCTCCCTTCCGTCTCCTCCTCTCGTATCACCAACTCACGGTGGTACCGTGGAATTCCATCGCTCCGTACTGGCCCCGCACGCCCTGCGGAAATTGCCGGCAAAGTGGTAACTGACGAGTCCCTGAAACTAGAGGGCCTAACCAAAATGCGCGACGACAGACGCCACGTGCCGGCACCCAAAGTACCGACTCATCAGGAACACAACTATCCGGGGCGGGCCTCTCCCTGAACCGCCACCGCCAAAACAGACGGATCGGACAACCTTGAATGCACCGCACATGCCATCTGCCTTATGCTGCACGACATAGAACGCCAACAGACCGGGAGGAACTTGCCCTTAGACCTATTGCATCTAATCCCTTGAAACTCTGCCACAGGAGATCTCAGTTCTGACATGGGACTCCACCCCCACTTTCCCAAAAATCCTTGGCACTGCCCTTTTCGCACTTGCACGCCCACATCCCACTCCGATCAGGAAGTCGCATCGAGCGTGAGGTTGGGCGTCACATCTGCCTGCTAACAAATTTGACTTTCTAGTTACCCTCCCCCCTCCCCCCAACTTGTTCTGAAGAGTAACAATTAATTCTGAATTTGGGCTCGGCTTGTACGACCCTCACCCTGTCATCTCGATCCCTTTTTTCTGCTTTACCTGACCTGCTAATAAAGTTAATCCCGAGGCTCCTAAGACTCTAAAATCGATCGTTCCTTGGCCAAAAGTCGTGTCACGAGTAGCAAAAGGGCAACCAGGGGAAGCAGACGGTTTTAGAACAAAAAAAAAAAAAAAAAAAAAAAAAAAACACAATCAAGTGGCGGGGGCAGAGGCTTTCACCATAACCACAGCCAGAGTTTTAACCACAGGGTAGGGACATAGTCCCTTGCTACGGTGATACATGATTGAGTAACTGATCCCGGCCTTCCGCATGGCCAGCCTTCAAAGGAAGGCTAGGGGCAGGAAAAAGGGAGGCACTACAATCCTATATCAAGGTGCCATGAGACACACACCCACTAGATGGCAAGAGGTAAAAAGCGGAGGGAATGGCGAGCCCCATTCAAGCAAAGTCTGCAGCGATACCTCTCGAGGGAAGGAAAAACTCAACAGCCCTTCCCCAACAGAATTGTTGAAAGAGATTAAAGATCTGCAAAGACTTGAAAAGGAAACAGGAAAAACAGATCCTCAGACAGCGTCAACCTCCTCCTCTGCCTCTTCCCGGGCAAGCAAGGTTAAGCGTCCCTTCTGTGGGGAAACGCTCTCGGTCAAACGAAGGCAGGAAGGAGATGAAAAGGATCTAGAAATCCCACTTGATAACCTCACAACTGCTTCCCCCTTGAAGTTCTTCCTCTCCAAGTTTTTAGTTAGCTCGGAGGACAGGCTAATCAATCGGGGAGGGAAGAAGCAAACCTGAAGACACAACTAAAGCAAGGGATGAAATCTATACACGTCATGCAAGCAATTGTTTTTTTTTCGATGATGCAGTTTACAAATCGATAAATGACAATCAAAAAGAGATCCGCCATCCTCAAGGGATCGGAGGATGGTGCGGGATGTTTTTTCTGATCCAACCACTCTCATCCACAGTGTACACGGTGAGGTGTGTTTTTTATTCTGATAAACAAAGGATGGATTCATGGCAAAGTATTCGATGTGATCAATCTGAGGTGCGGATCTTCCCCTGGAACCCTCCGAGACAACAACGGCCGGAGGAGAAGCGAGACCAGATGATGCAGGACTACAATTGGGTAGAATTCCGCCATGTGCCGATTGAAGTGCAGGGGGCTTTTGTGCAGGATCTTGCCCAGAAATATGACATCATCGATTTCATCGACCCCTTCCCCCCCCATATCGCCCGAAGAGATGATTTTTTGATGATTGCCTTGGACGTACCCAGGGAACAAGTGTTCGCCATTGATGACGTTATCCCCTTCCGGATAGGGGGGAAAGAGTTTAAAATCCACACAGCACATAAGACGCGTCCTTGGTGCTACAAGTGTCAGGCATACAGGCACTTGTCGACAGAGAAGAACTGTCCCCTCTACCCGACAAAGCGGGTCAGAAATACGGGACGCTTGATGCGAGACCCCTTTAAAGCCACCCGCTGGAGGATCGTGGATCCGGGGCATGAAGGTTGGGTGTATATTGATGAACCAGGAGGAGAACGAAGGGTGAGGGGCTGGGAGTGGGAGAAAAAGGAGGAGACTACGAAGGACAAAAAACTGCCAGAACATTGGGCCCCACCACGAACAATAGAAGATCACATGGAGGGACCCTGAACATCCTCCCCACCCGCTTCACCCGCGGCCCAAAAGAAGATCGAGCCCCAACCTCAAGACTTCCTAATTACTGCTGATGAGCAGATGGAGGTCTGGCAACAACCTAACCTAAAAAACACC